GAGTAAGTACAGTAACAGAATTTTTTACAGTAAATCATTATAGAAATCACGAACATTCCAATACAAAACTAACATAACCATATCTAAATCACTTGTATTATTACACAATAGAAAGTAAGTACAGTAACAGAATTTTTTACAGTAATTCACTATAGAAATCACACAACTAACATATCCATATTTAAATCACTTGTATTACCACAATACAGTAGTATGTAAGTACAGTAACGGAATTTTTTACAGTAAAACACTATATAAATCACAAATATTCCAATAAAAAACTAAAATAAACATATTTAAATCACTTGTATCACCACAAGTGAGTAAGTACAATAACAGAATATTTTACAAAGAAATCACGAACAAACCTATCATAATTACATCTAAATCACTTGTATCATCACAATAGTGAGTAAGTACTGTAACATAATTTTTTACAGTAAATCACTATAGAAATCACGAACATTCCAATACAAAACTAACACAACCATATCTAAATCACCACAACACACGCGCAGTCTGTAAGTACAGTAACAGAATTTTTGCGGTAAATCACTATAGAAGTCACGAACATTCCAATACAAAGCTAACATAACCATATCTAAATCACTTGTATCACACAATAGAGGGTAAGTATAGTAACGGAATTTTTTACGGTAAAAAACTATAGAACTACGAATATTCCAACATAACCTATCTAAATCACTTGCATCACCACAATAGTGAGTAAGTACAGTAACAGAATTTTTACAGTAAATCACCATAGAAATCACGAACATTCCAATACAAACCTAACATAACTATATCTAAATCACTTGTATCACCACAATAGTGAGTAAGTACAGTAACGAAATTTTTTACAGTAAATCACTGTAGAAATCACGAACATTCCAATACAAAACTAACATAACCATATCTAAATCATCACAACACACGCGCAGTCTGTAAGTACAGTAACAGAATTTTTGCAGTAAATCACCATAGAAATCCGAACATTCCAATACAAAGCTAACATGACCATATCTAAATCACCACAATAGAGGGTAAGTACAGTAACAGAATTTTTTACAGTAAATAACTATAGAAATCACGAACAAACCTATTATAATTACATCTAAATCACTTGTATCACCACAATAGAAAGTAAGTACAGTAATAGAATTTTTACAGTAAATCACTATAAAAATCACGAAAATTCCAATACAAAACTAACATAAACATATTTAAATCACTTGTATTACACAATAGAAAGTAAGTACATTAACAGAGTTTTTTTACAGTAAATCACTATAGAAATCACGAACATTCCAATACAAAAATAACATAACCCTATATCACCACAATAGAGGGTAAGTACAGTAACAGAATTTTTACAGTAAATAACTATAACTATAAAAACCATGAATATTCCAACATAACCATATCTAAATCACTTGTATCACCACAACACACGCGCAGTCGGTAAGTACAGTGACAGAATTTTTTACAATAAATCACTATAGAAATCACGAACATTCCAATACAAAACTAACATAAACATATCAAAATCACTTGTATCATCACAATAGTGAGTAAGTACAGTAACAGAATTTACAGTAAATCGTCATAGAAATCAAGAATTTCCAATACAAAACTAACATAAATCACTCACATCGCTATAGCAAGTAAGTACAATCGATACTGTTTATTATCCTTGACGCATAAATCAAACCAAGATCGAATTGCCAGATAATGACGGAATCCGCATCAGATTGTCGGATAATGACGGAATGCTGGCTTAGTATGTATGACTTTCCTAACAATGCCACTTGATCAGCGCTTACGCGGCCGATCAAATGGCAGCATTAACACAACCTAGCGCTAGGAAAGTCACACTAATCCCCAATAAGCCAGCATTCCGTCATTATCCGACAACCTGATCCGGATTCTGTCATTATCTGACAATCTGATCTCAGTTTATTTATGCCTATCTAAAAGTTTTGCTTTACATTAGTTGTGATTTATGTGTCATTAAAACTGAAACGGGGATATGCTCCCGGAAATCCAGACATAGCAATTAATATTGCTCCGGGGATCACCGTAAGCAGTCGAGTTTGCTTAGCGCTGACCGGTGGTTTTCCGCCTGCATAATGTAGACCAGCTGACAACATGAACATGTAATATTGCTATTCAGCAGCTATAATATGAAAATGGCAGGTTCCTTGGAAATTTTAACAATGAAAATGATTAGAAATCATTGTTATAATTTCCTTTTTAAATTCTACCACCATCTAAATTTGGAAGCGAGGATGGGTTGCGAATTGAGGTCTGCTAAAGTGATTGCTGGTGTGGGAATGTGACTGCGCTTCCATTGAACCATCCTTTATCCATACAGTATCTTTTATTACCGTATATGACCTCTGTTCATCTTGATTATACCGGATTGGTTCTGCCCATTGTCATTTTCATGTGTCTGTTACCCCTGCTTAGCACCTTTTCGATCCGTTGACCTTTTGTCAACTCGAATGATTAATAACAAAATTTTTACAGCAAATCAAAAATATCGATAATTGTAGCTCTTAATTATTATTATATTTATTACTTTTTATCATTAAGGTTTAAAAAAGAATTTTGTAATTGGGCAAGTGATAATTACGATATTGATCAATTAATTCAACAAATACAACTTAAGGCAGAGAAGTTTAAAGATATTATTGAATGGATACCATTTAGCAAATTCGCAAATATAAAGTATCTTGCTAAAGGAGGCTTTGGCACCGTTTTTAAGGCAGTATGGATCGATGGATACATTACAGGACTTGATCAGAAGAATGAATGGAATAGAAGGTCGCAAATAAATGTTTGCTTAAAGAGTCTTGATAATTCTAAAAATATAAAACAAGAATTTTTAGAAGAAGTAAGCATTATAATTTATTGTTAAAGTGTAGTAAATCTTATTTATCCTAATTAATATTTTAGGTTAAAAATCAACATGAACATGGGGGCAATTCGGCAATTGCGATTTATGGAATAACTAATAACCAAAAAGATGGTAATTACATGATGGTTATGGAGTATGCAAAGCAAGGAAGCCTCAGAAATTTGTTAGATAGTAAATATGGTGAATTAAATTGGGCTTCTAAAGTAACGAACTTATATTACATAGCTAGTGGGCTTAATACAATTCACAAAGCCAATTTAGTGCATAAAGATTTTCATTCCGGCAATTTAGTTAATCAAAATATGTACAGTTCTTACATCACTGATTTTGGCTTATGTAGCCAGTATCAAAAGACTCAAATTCGAAGGAATTTTTTGGTGTGATTCCGTATATTGCTCCAGAAGTATTATTATACACAAATGGAAAGGAATATACTCAAAAATCAGATATTTATTCTTTTGGAATAATTATGTCGGAAGTTTTTACTGGATATCCTCCATATCATGATATTCCACATGACAATGATCTAGCAATTCGAATTTGTTGTGGTCTTAGACCTGAAATTAGATGCGAAGTTCCTCAACTACTTTTAGATTTGATGAATAAATGCTTAGACTCAGAACCTCAAAACAGACCAACTGCTGAAGAATTATTAATTACGCTGAATCGTTTTTTTGAAGATTTGAAAAAGGAAGGAACTGAATTATATAAGCAAATTAAAAATATTAAAAATCTAGACAAAAACTTCTTAACATTTGATCAAGTTAAATATCAAACACACCCACAAGCTATTTATACAAGTCGACGTTTGAATCTTTTAAAACTCCCTAAACCAGGTAATAACATTTACTTGTCTTTTTTTTTTTTTAAAAAAAAAAACAGTAATATGTTTTATTAATTGTAATATTTCTAATCTGCCAATATAGTAAATGCAGGTAACATATTTATTTAAATTGGATTAAATTATGGTCTTAGTATATTTACATGTGTGTATTTTACAGCAGGAAGTCAACTTATTGATTTTCAAATCCCCGATGGTAAGTAATACATCCGATTTATTATAATTAAGCAAATTTACTACTCATTTGCATATTGGTATTTTAGATCAATAAATCCGGTAACTGAAAATTGTTATTCCCATACTACAATAATTCGGTATACTTTATATATGTATCTAAAGTCAAAATTAATTTGCTTGATCTATAGATTGTTGGTAAAATACTTGTTAACGAGTTCCACTAAATTCATATTAACTACATTTTAAACAATAAATATTATTATACTTTCTAAATCATTATTATTATTGTTGTTAATTCATTAGCACTCCGTTCTATAATAACAATACGTCAAATCATTTTAAAGTTCAATAAATTCGGACAAACCATTTTAAATTTATCATTACATATCAAAATATTTCTTAGCTGAAAAGCATATGAATATCTTGTGTGTGAAATTAGAATGGGTGTGGATTTAAAACTAAGTTGCGTCAGATTGAAATTTGAATCAAAGATGCGTAAGGTCAAAATAGAAGGTTTGCGTTGAACTAAATTGATAATTTATATAAGCAATGCTAAGAAAACAAAAATTCTAGATTCTTAAATTTGTAACATGCCGGACTAAATTCTTAGGGTGTTTTAGATTTAAAAGTTGAAGCCAAAGTTTAGTTTTCTTGGACATCGCTCATACTGTATTATCCCTTAAACCATATGTAAATTTAGATCAAATTTGGCACGAATTTTATAAGATCATTTTTACATAATTATAATTAATATTGTAAATCAATTCCAAAATTAGTAAAAAATAATAAATAAACAAATATTTAATAAATTTATTTATTTTTTGCTATAAAAATCTTTAAACCAATTAGGTCACACTTTAAAGCAACAAAGAGGTACAATACATCTAATACACCAGAATTGAGTCTGAGAAATTGCATAAATATGGGTTGAGTCAATAAAAATCAAGCAAATTTTTTCTAAGTAAATTTTTTTGAAACATTTAAGCAAAGATAATTTAACTAAAACTTATCAAATTTTATAAAACTTTTTTAAAATAAATGCTACAAATTTGTAGAATTTATTTAAAAAATTTTTATTAAATTTGATTAAGTTTTTATTGAATTATTGTTGTTTAAAGTTTCAAAAAAAATTTAATAAAACCAATTTGCTTGATTTCTATTAACTCACCTCCATATATATATTTTTTTTATCTTTTTATTGTTTTTTATTAAATAATAACAATATAGACATGATTTTTTGTTTTTATTATTCTATTAGAAAATTTCTTAAAAAAAGTCAAATTATTGGTAGATTAAAATTTTAGTAATATATGCGATTCTTTTATTTCCTGATAGTGATTTTAATGTTTTTTTTTGTTTTAATTGAGCTCAAGTTATTCTATTATTACTATTTTGATTATTTATAGTTTTTTAAAGTAAATTTCATAAAGAGTAATTTAAAAGTTTTTACATGTAATTTTTGTATTTGTAACTTTATAATAAAGAATAATTTTATTAATATGAACAGTGTTTAATAACTAAAAAAATAAAGAAAACCAATTATAATATGTTGTTAATTGACAATTATAATTATTTTAAAACTGATTGATAATATCAACACCTTTCATATAATAATTATAATCATTAATTATTTGTAAAATAACAATGTTTTTATGACATTATTAAATACTTAACAAATTTTATTTGTATTAGTACTTATTTTATAAAGATGTTATTGATTTTAAATAATTTTTTATTCATTATCTATAATTTTATAAAAAGTTGTAAGTATTGTTACAGATTCATTATCAATTTATAAAATTGCTAAAACATTATTTGTTACTATTCTGTTTAATATATTCTAACCTAATAAATTAGTATTATTAATTTTTAACTCTTTAGAAAATTTAGATAGATTAGTTTTAACTGTTTTATATATATCTAGATTATTTTTATATAAATATTTAAAAAGAAAAATATTTAAAAAATAGTTATCTATATATTATAAAGAAACTAATTTTTTAAATATTATACTATAGGGTGTAGTGACTTAGTGAAGTAGATAAGTTGTTATATTTCCAAGTGGTATGTTGTGAGTTCAAAACCCACTGATGGCAAAATTTGGATAATCATCTATGTAATATATAAACAGTATTATGGCAATGGCATTCTGTTGATCAGTTGGGTTAGGATACCTATAACCATGATTGCACTAGCATGACTAGCAGGTCTGGGGCATCTGTATAATCTGTTATATAGAGGAATGCATACCAGTACCAGGTGGTGCAAACCTAAAATAAGTTCTTGGGCTGTGTAAATCTATAGAACTGAGAAGGTGAAGCCCACTTAGAACTTTTGAGCAGAAAGGTAATACAAACCTTTGACAATACTACTATAAAAGCTAAACCTAAAAAATAAATACTAATATAAAGAATTCGAGCAGCCAAAAACTTCAGATAAGGGGTATCATCAACCAGACCACTGGATTTTAGACCAGAAGAAAAAAATATTAGGTCAGCCTTAATATACTAAAAACAGATCACAATCCTCTAAACTATCTGGATTAGAAGTCTGGGTTCAAAGCAGTGATATACTAAAAGTACTAGAAATATGTTGTAAAGTCAGTACTAAGGTCTAGATGATCTTTATAAGGGTAGTCCATATTAGTGTTCTAAAGGTGAGTAGATAGTTAACAACAGAAGGCTCTTTGCATCTTACTAGCAGATAACATACTCTTGAATGTGTAATGGCCTGGGAATCAGTACAAAAAAGGTAGGTAACCATACTGCTTAGATGATATACTGGTTAGGTATATATAGGAAATAAGTTGTGAATTCCAATATGACATAGCAGATGATCAGAGGATTTAAGTAAATAATCTCTTAGTAGGTTATAGGTATTGCATCTAGTATAGAACCTTAAGGCAAACTACTTAAATAGGCAACCAAAAGTTGTATATATAACTAGCTGTACTCTTATCTTTGTAAAAATAGTTGTAATAGCTAATCCAATATAAGTATATAAGTTAATAAAGTATTGCCACAAGTATAACTTTTAAAAAAAATATATATTATAATATTATTAATATTAGTAATTATTTCTAATTCTGAACTCAAACAAGAAATTTGCTATCTGTAACTTTCAACATATCTTTTCTTCTAAGGCATCCAAATTACACTCAGAACTCAAAAAACTAGACAATATTATAAGACAAGTTAAAGTAGCATTTCATAATTATATCTCTGTGCCTATATTTCATAACCAAAACATTGATCAACTCAACTTTTTTTATTATTTCAATATACCTATACTGTCTCAAGTTCTTAATCTTTTACCTGACTGGATAACTGTAGTCAACATAGAGTGAAAAATACTTTATCATGTATGCAATCTAGAAAATATTAAAAACATAAATGAACAAATTAAAGATAATATAACCAAAAGATGTACTAAACTCCAAAATAGTCTAACATCAATGATTAACAATATACTTAATCAATACAAAGATCCTGTCAAGTTTTATATTATTAAAGAATTAAACAACATTATTACTGAACCATCACTTATTAAACAACATATTCAACAATACTTTGATAATTAGACAGCTCCTAGAAACTTACAACTACAATTATTTAACACAATGTAACAACAAGAATACTAACCTAAACTGAACATTGATCCTATATGGTATCTACTAGTACTCAAGGAATTTATTTTTGTAGAAGTTTTTGAAGTTATCAATTAATTCCCTAATAACAAAGTAGGTGGACTATCAGGCATTAGCTATGAGATGATTAAACATGCTAGAACAGTTTTTTTTAATCACTACCTCACAACTGGTCAAATTCTAAATCAATGGAATAAAGAAAGAATCTTTCTTATCTCTAAAAAATCTATTTTTGATAGTAACTTAACTAATACCAAACCTATTAATTTATTCAAATACATTAAAAAACTTTATACCAAACTTCTTACTAACAGACTTAACTATATTTTTACTTATTATAAAATTTTGTTGTCTTTTAACTAAATAACTCTACCTGGTAACAGCACAGCTATTTCTATACATATACTTAATAATATTACTGAAGAAGCTTCTTGTAACTCCAAACAACCTTGGCTCTTATTTTAGGACATGAGCAAAGCTTATAACTCTGTAAACCTTACACTCTTTACCAAATCTTTATTATGCCTACATATGCTATCTAATCTTATCAATATTTTTACTAATTTGCTTGCCAATCAACAGAACTGAGTTATTATAAATTTAGGACTTACTAACTCTTATAATATTAAAAATAGCATTGACCAAGAAGAAACTATAACTTTGCTGTTCTGAAGAATTTATTATGACCAGCTTATAAACAAAATAGCCTTAGACTTTTCAGAATACACTTTGGCTACAAAATGGAATACTAGACTACTTTGACCAAAACCTCAACAACTTTAAATCTCAGTATCTGTATTAGCATATATGGATGATACACTTTGGATAGGCAAATCTAAAAAAGAATTACAATTAATTATTGCCATAGCTATATACTTTTATCATATAGCTAACATTTAAATTAACTCAGCCAAATCAATTCTTACATCAAACACTTCATCTATAGCTCCTATTCACTTCTTCAGCTTATCACTTATACCAATTCCTGTAAACCAACTATTCAAATTTTTAGAATGTTGGTTCACTCTTAATAACTCATATACAAAACAAAGCCAACTAATTTATGATGAAGCAATCTAATTCATCAATGTTACTGGCACAAAAAGAATTACAGACAAACAAGCCATCTTTATTACTAATACTGTAATCATTCCTATCATCAAATACAGATTATATAACATTATTCTTAAATATTCCACTTGTAATAGTATTTTATCCAAATACCTTACCAAGTTCAAACATAAAGCTAAACTTTCTCATACTAGCCCCAATAGCATTATGCTTAACCCTCATATATATAATGTATATAATATTTGAGATATCCAACTACAACATTATATATATTGCTTTCAACAAAGAATTAATGACTCTGAGATTCTTG